TTTAGACGGTTGATTGTTTTGCGTATTGCAAAATCTGGCATGTAGGGATCATTAAAAAGTATCATGTGCATTTTGGATTACAAAACTATGTGTCCTTTATCTCGCATCACTGAGGGTCTAATGAGGACTCTCTCGGAAGATCGATAAAATTACTTCCGCTCTGGTTCCCCTGTTTTCTTTCAGTGGATTCCATCTACTTGTGAGTGAGCTAATGAATATTTTTTAACCTTCCGTAGACTGCGCGATACTGTGATACCATTAGCGGTCTTTTTTAAGGTTCCTACATAAAGGTTGCTTGCTACTACTTCTAGGGTTAAGTCTAAGTGACTCAGTTATGCAGTTTTTCATCCCTTCTTCCTAATGGCTTTCTTATTTATCTTCTCCGTCGCAAAACAAATCGTTTTACTTGTACCACCCTGAGTAAATTGACCTCCTCAGTTATCGTTCAAAAATAGCAAAAAAAGTGGTATCATTTGATTCCCCAACTTTTCACTACAACTTAGCAAAACCCTTTCTTCTCCTGTTCTTCATCCCCATGGGCAGCCAAAAGACAGCAACCACAACCGGCGCACGAATATGTGTGGCTAATGGTTGTACAAACTAAATTGAACCAATTGGCTAGCCGGAGCATGAAGCACAGGTAAAACTTATTGAAATTCATTAAATGTCGGGTGTTTTGTGCAATAGGTTGAGTAAAACACAAGTAAAGCTACGGATTTGATTACTCCCTGCCCTCATTAAACGAAATTAACTACACAACCAAAAAGTTCATCAATGTTATTGCGATGGAAATGTTTGCGATAACCAAAAGAGAACAGACAGCTGTTTCGTCCTGCTTGGGACTCGTCAATAGTGCGTACCCTTTGCACCCCTGCTAGGATTCGAACCGCGATTCTTCGGGCTGGGACTTCAAATCCTTACCCTTGAGCTACACGGACGCTGGTTATCGCCTTGTGCGAATGGCTCAATCAATTTCGATGGTGGATGTTTGGATTAGTTAGTTATAAACATCGAAAACCAAGGCTCTAAGGACATTACCACACAAAAATGGACAATTTCGCCTATGAAACTCGACAGGGACTGCTCGATAAGTATAACAAAAATGTTTGACGTCACCACAGCAAACGAAGAACGTCGTTGAAACCAAGGTAAGCAAATATCTGCAAATCACTGCATGTGACGGTTTGCCTCAATCCCGTATCAATTCGGTCCTCAAAAATCTGTCTTGGGGGATGGAAGTGAACGAAGAATTCAATCAAGTAGTAAACTCATTATGAAAAAACAAACTTTTGGAAATTTTTGTGGCTCTTTGTTTTGCGTTTACTTATTTTTGTGTGTCTTGTTTCCAGATTTGCATTTGATAAAAAGGAGGAGCATAAGCTTCTTTTAGAGCGTATTCCAATAAGAATGACACTGTGGATATGTAAACCGAATCCAATGAAAAATGATACCTTTAAGGTTTGATTTGGGCCTAGGCAGGATGCATTTTTGCAGTCACAAACCGATTGGAACCCCAGTTAGTTTCGTTAAGTTAGTCAGTCCTTATTTGTGACGTATAGGTGCAGCTATTTGTCGGATAGTGGAATATATGCGTGAAATGGAAGTCCACAATTTTTCGGTTACATCCTCAGAATGATTTCGATAACACGATATATTGATTTCTTTGGATTAAACCCATCTACAGTAGCGAATCTTCAAGAAATCTCCATTCCTTGGTGTGCTACTGATATCAACAACAAGGGTGTTTTTATTCCTAAGAAAAGCGAGTTCTGCTCGACTTGAATATTTTTCAACAAAGTTGTTTTTGCGAATAGATGGATTTCCCTCACTATCAGTTACTCAGTTTAAATGACCGATTGGTCTACTCTTGCTTTTCATGAACTCCGATAGAATCTTTCTTTCAGAATGAAATAATGCGAGATTTCATTCAGTTATAAAATATTTTTATGACACAAAGAGAAAAGAGAAATTAATGGAAAACTTGTATACGCTGTACAGTATTTTTAATTTTATTCGACATGAAAACCAATAAGAATACACTGATTGCAATAAAAGGGTAGAATCTATTAAACTTCAATTATCCATTGGTTAAACCAAATGCTTCACCAGGTCCAGTCACATTATGGTACAACCCAGCCTCGGTAGCTTTTGGAAAGCCACTAACGTGACCTGCCGAGTAGAAAAACTGGGTATTATTCGTAAAGGTTCTAGTTTGGATCTTACAGTGAGTTGATGATGAATGAGAAATGTGGCTGATGTTCAACACTGCTATGCAAAATGAATGTTCAGGTCCTTGAACGGCGGATAATTGGACTCTCACTGTCGAGATAGCCTGGCCACAGGAGGTATAATAATTAAATTTTAATTTGCACTTAAGACATCAAAAAACAAATCAAGTCCATTCATAGTATCCATGCAGGAAAATAAGATATCGATCGAACATCTCTTGGGGTTTGTTGTTGGTCGCTTCCGAAGATTTGTTGTACAGTAATAAACTGAAACGATGCATATTTCCATTTTTTGACGATAATTTTGCTCAGTATTCGCCTTTCACCTCATCATTTATGCAAGTACCCCTGAGCACACGTTGGTACTCTTCATTTTCATATCCGAATTATGAAATCGCTTTCTTCGATGCACCGTGGTGGAAACAATGACAACTACTCAAGAATGCACACAAATAGGAGAGTTCATGCCTGATAGTATTGGAAACCCTGTAGTAAATAAGCAACATAACTCATTTAAATAATCTATTTGGAGAATAAAAAGTTGTTTTTTCATGACAGACAAATGGTCTTGAAAATCTATTTTGTCCTTGCCAGGGCTCGTCATCAAACCGTTCGATCCTTTCTTGAATAACTGGAATCACGGTTTCACTACTCACCAGTAACCATAATCTAATATCCGTTATTGAATTCAAAATGTTTCCCTGTATAGGGAGGTCTTACCCTAGTAAACGAACTTCAATAATGTAAACTAATCAATCGCTATCATTTTCACTTCATTTTCTTTTAAATTTCGCTGCATCATTGGGGCTCAAGTTGTTTCCAATTATCAAAAATACTGAAGACTGTTCCCGAATCAAAATCAAAGCATTCAAAGTATGGTGCTTGGATTGCGACCGGGCGGCTACGGTCGTCCTGGAAGCTTCTCATCCGATGAACTCTCCATTTCAAGTTATTCACCATTAAAGTTGTCACTTTGAACAGCCATTTGAGAGATTGGTGAGAAACACAGATGGTAGAGGCCTTTTAATGATTCCCTTCGGACACCGAATGCTAATTAATTTTAATCCCAAGGGCCCTCAGTTAAACTGTCACATATTTTCCAATCCTCCTTAAATTTACGAATCTGTTTGACAAATATTGTTTTACATCCTTTAAATCCACGGGTTTCTTTTTCACTCTATCTATGAGACAAAAAACGCATTGATCTGATCGGCTAAGAGAACTTGATCACACCGAGGGTTTCGACGCCCAATCGTTACCGTGCTGGTTGATGTTCATACTCCCCACCACCCACTGTCATCGAATAGTTGGCTGCATGTGAGGCCGCTAGCCCCAGCCACACCCCACCCCTTCCTTGCCCTATGCCTCCTCCTCTATCCAGCCCATATGGCAGTAGACATACATTCCAAAATTTGAACACTGTATCACGCACCGCTGATCTCTGTGTCCTTTAGGTCGCTGTCAGCCTCTGCTGCCCCATTCTGTCCAATAATGCCGTATTTCTATCATTGTTCCAAATGACTGACTGTCAACCACATGCTTACACTGTCACAGTCCGCTGCCTATCAGTGACGAATAATCGTTTACAGAAGTTGATTTCATCGATATTCATTGAATATCATTCGCGATTGGACTGTGCTCGTTCATCTACTGTACAATCCCACAGATTCTAAGCGTCTTACAAGTTTTCCACTATTACTGCACAAACACAATGGCGTTACATGAGCGCAGTGAAGGACTTGATTTGAATGTATAGTTAATTCTGTGGTGTACACAGCAAAAAGGGAGTGAACTGAAATACTAGGAAGCACTGTGAAGCAATTCCGACCTGGTTGGGTCTTATTAGTAGGTCACTCTATAGCTCCCACTGGCCATCTAATCGGTTAATTAAAAAGGACAGTATGGGTTAGAAAAAAACGTAGATCTAATATATGAAAAATGCATGTATTATCCATTAAGAATCCCATGAAAGAGCTGAGTACTGAGTAACTATTATCATTGATCAATTATTTCCTTGAGTGAATCTATTAAATCGGTCATTGGAAAACCAGAACTCGTAAATCGAATTAAATCCGGCGCACAGTTTATTCACAAATCATAGGATCCCTAAATTTACTTCATGGTATTTAATTTAACTGAGAAATCTAACAACAAGTGGTAATGTTTTCACACTCAAGAAGCACTTTCATAAGCAACTTGTGGTCATATTCTTACCGCGCGATCGACTGAATTCATCTCCTAGCCTGAGAAACAACTATTGGTGACGGTCTTTGCTGAATGTCTTCAGAAGTAATGGTTTTGCACATACTTCTCTGTTGAGTGTTACTCGAAACTGTCACCGTAAAAAGGCACAGTTTCTACTTCTGTCACATTGATAGGCATTACGCATGAAGAAGTATTCCTTCTCGCATTCGAACTGGTCATAATGAATGAATTGGAATCGATTGACCTTTTCAATATCGATCACCACGACAAGCAGCTTGGCGTACCATATGTGCTGTTCCAATCGAACAGGCCTCATGACTGTTTCACTAGGCCATATGGTCATGCATTCATTCATGATTAGAGGTTAAAAACAGATAGCTCGTGCATCAAACTGGTCACTGTCATTTTATCAAAAAAATGAGAAACGATGTGAGCGAGTTACAAACCGCCTGTATTATCAAAATTTCAAAATATATCATGAAGGCAATTTCAAAAACATCATCAGTTCAGGGAACTCTTGACTGAAAATCTGTTTGACATTCAAATTCCTATGAGAATCGATTTATTTCATGCTTCCTGGTTTTTTGACACCTCCAATCGCGGCGTACGAACAATTTTCCAACTATTCCCAACCGTGGATTGGTTCACCTCAATCACAGTATAGTCTGATAGATTTTCTCCACTGGTATCGGGTAAAATGAATAATAAACCAACCATAATGATTGTAACACCGGCGTACACAAGAATTGGTAAACCATGGGCCACGTGGTTATCCAACTGGTTGACAAATGTGCATACCATACTGCCAAAACGACCGAGACCCGCAACAATACCAAAAGCTTGTGAGCGAATCTTGGATGGATACAGTTCGGGCAAATAGATATAGGTCATGAACATACTCCCCACAGAACAAGTGACGGCAATGTTTGAGGTTACTGTGAGAACAATGTCATCTTCCGGGTGAACGACGTAAGCGTAACTTCCACCAATCACAAGGGCAACAAAAGTGATTAGAAACACAATAACCAATGGAAGTCGACGGAATCGAAAGAATCGATACAGAAACATAGACAGTGCAACTCCGGGGATTGTCATGGCTGCGTTCACAAAACTGACAATGTAAATGCTATCGCGAATTGTGTTAGCGTATAGTAACAATCCAAAAAATACCATGCCGTTTGCGTTAAACAAGAGAATACCCAGAGTGGTTGTGCGCGCCAGTTGAGGAGTAGAAAATGTTCGAAATAGAGAACGAAACATACGCTTGATACAATATTTTCTGGATCGTTTTCGTTTAAGCAAGGTTTGCCCTTCCCCATACTGCTCATTATGAGACATCCATGCTTCTGTCGCGTGTTCTAAACTGATTAACTGGACTTGTCCCTCCTTTGGTTTTGTTCGACCGAAGTGGTTCACTTTATAGCCGTATCTTAATACTGCCAAGGCTTTTGTCAGTCGATTGCGAGAGATTAACCAGCGAGGCGATTCCGACAGCACACAGAATTGTAGCAAACCTAGCAAGGCTGGAGCAGTACAAGCCAAATTTAGCCAACGCCATTCAGGAATATACAAAGCTAACAGGGACATGAAGCCTCGAAGAAGAAAGTTGTAACCGAGTGAAAGCGCCGCGCTAAAATACGATCTATATCGTGCTAACGTTAATTCCATCGCCAGTACATTGTAGACTGTCACTCGACCGATGTTGGAAGCACCTGAGAATCCACGGAACACCGCATATGTAGAGTAGTTCGGTGACAAAGATATCCCAATGGCGGACACAATTTCAACTACGGTCATAAATATAGCCGTTGGTTTCCGACCAAATCGATCACCTGCCCATCCGCCCACCAAAAACCCGCACATCATTCCAAACATGTAGACCGACGTCTCGAAAGGTGCTAACCAGTCGTGGTTACATACGGTTGCAAACTCAACGATCACACTGCCTGGATATTGCATATTGTTCAACTGAAATACGTAGCCGTTTGGACAAGGTTCAGTCTCCAACCGTGAGTCGTTGTTATGTGTGTCATGGATCCGATCAAGTCGTTCAGTGAGACTATCATTGGTCCAAGGAATTCGATATCGGGTACAGCCCACATGAGTGTTTGTTTCGTTTTCGAGGACGGTCGTGAACCATGGACCTATCACTCGACCAATCTCGTGGAAAGTCAGATTTCGTTCGTTCAACAAATATTCTAACTCTGGCTCCATTCGACATCGTTTCTCTGGGACGGAATTAGCGAACACAGGAAAAGTTGGCGTGGATGGGGTGCTAAGCATTAACAAGATGATTATGGACCATTGCCATAATCCATTTGCTCCAACTTCATCCTCCAAAATATTGTCCACATTGATATCAGGTTTGACTGGGTGTCTTCGTCCAGCCTTGCCGTTTCTGTCCGTGAGTTCTATTGACTCACTGTCTGACCTTTGGCCCATAGTTTCGGGCTAAGTTTATCTAATCGTGAACTTCGTCTTGTCACGACTACTGGTGCTTTTGAATGGAACTGAGTTTTCAGTCAGCACTCATGTGATTGTTGACCTAATTCAATTGATTTGTACCGGATCATGTGCCATAGATTTGTACCAGCGAAATTAGACATTAATCGAGCGGATATCACGGGTACCCGTTTACGATTTCAGTCGAAATTTATTGCTCCAAACAATCATAATGAACATGTACAAGAGTCATAAAGTGATTTAAAAAGGTAAAACGATTGAAAATAAATATTTTGTCACATCAGTCACGGAGATAGGTAACTTTTATGATAAATTACAATATATTTCAGTCAATACCTTATTTTTGTACGGTAATATGCGAGCTAAATATAGAACAGTAGAGTTCATAAAAATGTTGATGTGAGGGGCTGTAGTGACTATGATTGTACGAAGAAATGGAGCAATCCCCAAGGGCGTTTTCCGTTCATACTTCCTTCACAATCAAATCTGACTCCACCTGTGATACTTCTTTGTTTTACTTCTGCTTGTTTTACTGAGCACGGTTTTCCGCTCAGGTGTATATATGAGCTGGGTCCTATTCAAACCAAAGCAACACGTGTGACACACTTTCGCTTTGCTGATGCATGTATTGCTTGCATTGTTTAGCGTCACCTCGGCACGTATTCGGTAATATCTAGTACCACGATTCACCAATAAACGTCTGCGACTCCCATGAGTGTTTTGTCTACCTCGGGCAACGAGACAATTTGAGATTCGTAGGAAAACTTATCGGCAGGCCGTCAACGCCGATTAGCTTCAAAGTAATGCACTTGTATCCATAAGGTGTACTTGAGTAAGAATGGTATGATGACAGACTAGAGTGACTTTAAAAATATTTTGTTGGCCACCTCAGTGCAATGAAGTGAGTATATAATTAGGCTTACAGAATACCTGCTTAACGGGAATGAGGGGAACACAACGGATGCTCATAAGACCATACAATTGAATTTAAAAATCTCGGTTTTTGAATTCCGTGAAATATGACATGAGAAAAAGAACGTAGGACTGGGAAGATACTCTGGCAGACCTGACCATTTGGAGATATAAAGTAGTACAAGGTTGCAAGTATGACACGACAGCCGCCGTACTTGACCGCCTGACTGAATAACCAAGGTTAATGAGAGGTCAGTGTTGTAGGTAATACGCAAATGCTTAATGAAGTCAACTCTTGTGGAAGACCTCTTATTAATGCTTACAATCAGTATGAGTTAAAAAGATCTCAATAATTGATGCATTCGCTCACATATTACTAAGATCAACAGTTCAGACGAACAGAAAATGCCTACCTGCATGCCTCAAACCACGCGAATGTGCCCGAAGTAGACTTAGCGACCGAACGGGTAGTGTCAACCCATTCATCTACTGATGCAACCAAATTTAGCCTGGGGCGGTGTTCATATAGGAGATGATGAGAAATCTAGGTGAAGAACCAACCGTAGAATATTGACAGTTGTTTCTAGGACAAGATTTTTAACTTCTAGAGTATAATCTTGTGAACTTCAGTTACGTTTCCCTCATTTCACTCAAGGAATCGATTTTGACGTTTTTCGATGCTCTTAAAGAATCACGCGCCTAGTTGACCCACAAAGTGAGTCATTTTATGAGTTGTGATGCAACACAGATGCAACTAAAGATGATTGCCCTAATATTTTATCCTAATTCTCAAAAACAACTGAAGAAATTGCCCAAATCCGTGCACGATGCAGGTTATTTTCGCGTGCATTGTGCTACCGTATTAAGGAATTGACTGAGTGCGCACAACATGTTTGCCACTTCGGGGCGTGTTTGCGGCTCACTGGAAATTAAGGTGGATCGGCCCCACCGATTACCAACGCTCTAAAATGCGGATTTGCTGCGAGATCCAAGAAATCGAAGATGAATCCCGCGAACTTGTGGCCGTGAATCCCTCGTGACAAATTCGCCTGTTACTATTTGGACTCTGAACAATACTAGATTGCACCACGAAATTAGAAATACAGTGAGTGAAGCTCGGCTTGAGTATTTCGCAACTGAAATATGGTACAGTTTGCCTGGATTGTTAATCTTCTCATTAGTCAATTGTTTATCTTGGGCTCTTACTGTGGATCAAGTAGTAAGCAACCTGTAGTGACCAACCAAATCCCAATCTACGTGTACCCTTCCTCATGTGCATCTCATTGTTTTATCACGCCAAGGCCACCTCTTTGGTCAGCAAGTGTTTGCTTTCACTTTCCGCACATTTGCTCACGCTTCTGTATCTCTCTCTTGTTCTGCAGGTCGTAAAAATACAACCCGTTTCGTAAATCATCTCTTTTTGTCTTCGCACGAACGTCCGTTTGCGACTTATACGTATTAGCTCGGGATATCCATAAGCTAGTGCCTACCAATTGGTGAGACCTCTTGTGGCTTGAGACCGACAGTGTAACAAGATCGAGAGTTGTCACCACCTTTGTCTGGCTGTTCCGCATGTATGCTTTCGCACGGCTGCAGGCATTGGTTGCTTGAAGCATTCGCTCATGCATCCTTCTTGTTAAGACGGAGCGCACAAGACACAAGACATATCACTTCTCTTTTGTAGCATAGATTCCACCAGGACCTTCGATATCCTGAGACCGCTTCTTCAGCTAGGTCTTTTATCTTTGTTTAAGTCACTGCCACCTCCAGTGAAGTAACTTTAAATTTTAACGGTACGTGAGTTCAGTGCTGCACCTTCTCTCGCTAAGCACCTTTCGCTTTTAGACAATCTCGAGCATAGTCAGGCTAAAACTCCGGTGCTTTCAGGGAACAATATACTTTCCCTCGACTAACCGGCAATTCTTCCTGATCCATACCAGGTGATCAAGAAACACGGAAGAATTGCATCCCCTATCTCTAAACTGGTGAACCCATTCCATTTCCCTG